TGTCTATCTATCTAACCCCCACCTATCTATCTATCTAACCCTAACCACCTATCTATCTATCTAACCCCCACCTATCTATCTGTCTAACCCCCAACCCATCTGTCTAAACTCAAACTGTCATTTCTCTTCTGTTTCAGCGCTTGAAGAACGCCTGTCGATGTGATCCAAAGTGGGGACCCGCCCTGCGGGAGCACAGGACAGGCCGCTACGCCCCCATGGCCTGTGAAGAGGTGGTGGAGTCTCGTCCCCTCAAGGAGAAGGAGGATCTGAAAGAGGAGGAGAAGGGGAGAAGAGATGAAATCAACCTGACCACCCACGGAAGCAACGGTTCCACCAACACACACAACAACCCCAGTGCATAGACCACACTCACCCACTCTGTCTCCACCATCTCCTCCTCTCCCTTCTTCTCCGTCCTCACCCCACTTTCCTGCAGTCCTCTGTGGGGGAGATCCCATTCACTGGAGACCTTTACATATTGTAAGGGCTTATTATATGGACCCTAACCTCTGCTCTCTGTCTGTGTCGTCTCTGTAGAAAAACAAAAACACAATTAAAGGAAGAAAAACAAAATGTAGTTCATCGTCCAAATGATTAGGTGTGTTTGCTCGTGTGGAGTCAGAAACCATGAGTGAGTTCTTCATTTGTTGTTTTTTTTTCCAAACATAATTTAATAATGCAGTTTTAATTGTTGTGTCAAACTGGTGTGTGTGTGTGTGTGTGGCCTGCATATAGAGTTGGAGGTCTGTGGACTGTGAAGCTGCATGCGTTTGTTTTGGTGCATGTGGCCATGTTAGAGACACACACTGTTCTTGGTTCTGTTAGTCAGGTCTGTTTGGGATTTGGTGACACTGGAGTGGCAGTGACTTAACGGCTGTTGTGAGACATGTAGTGGTGCTGTAATATAAAGGAGAAAGAAGGAGTAAGAGGAAGGAGGAGAGAGTGAGGTGTTCCCAGACTGACCTCTGAGGTGACACAATAACCCCAGGGTCAGGAAGGGAGGCAGATAATGTGGTTCACCCCCGTACACTCACACTTTTGTACATTCTACAGCACACAGTGACCTCAACCGTAGTTGAACTCAGCCTCAGACTAAGCCTGCTGTTTTCTTCTGCTGCTTTCGTCCTTTAAAAAACATAAACATGTTCTACAAAGCACAAACATTTTACAACCAGGAAGGCGAATGACAAGTAGGGCTGTTTGTCTGTGAAAACAAAAAAAACAACCATTTTTACATTTTTTACGTTTTAACTTTTCTTCACTAAAGAGGCGTCCGTGAACTTTAACTGTACTGTAACTCTCTGGCTGACGTATATATTCACATAATATATGTGAATATTTTCTTTGACTGAAGGGATCCCATCGTCATTTCTCAGGGTCCAGCAAACTAAAATAGTTTTTTCGTCGAACTTCCTCATCGTCTTATAATTGGGAGTGAAAATGAACACACGTGCTATCGACATACAGTCATTAATAAAAAGCACATGGATGCAACTCTAAATATAGAAGTGCCATCTCACCTTAAGTCTTCCAGGCATTCCTTTTTTTGAGTGAAATGCATCATGGGACATAGTCTGTCCACAGATGTTTTGGCCTAAGAGAGGCATTAGCTATTACTGTGAACATTACTTGCACAAGGGACTGATCTGGTGTCAGTCTTTTGTAACATTGAATCTATTCATGCTTGTTTTGTTACTCTGAGTGGAGCTCATAGACAGTATATAGGAAATGGACACAGTAACAGGACCACAGTCTGAGGCACATCTGCTGTCAGCTAGGCCTATGTTTTTCATTCAAAATAGAATCTAACAAATTGAAAGTGTAAGAAAACTTTATTCACTGAGCTGCAGGCAGCACTGACTGAGCCTGAACGCCACTCAGCCATAGAAACACATGATTAATGTCTGGAGTTTCCTGACGCTAACAAAACTACTCAAGATCAAAGCAATCTGCTCACTCAGCACTTCTCATAGACTGCGCCCACTCTGGTTGAATGGAGTACTACAACAGTACTGCAGTAGTTCTGTTGTACTTTTATTCACTGGCCCTGTGGTTTTTTTTATTTTTATTTCACAGGTTTTTAAGGCTGCACTCATTAAAGTTCTCCTGTAGAGGGCGTGTCAACTGTAATGCATGAGGGAGAAATGGAAATAATTGGAATTTAAATTATGAAACTGCTGGGTTTTTGTTTTTAATTGTGGAGTAATACCCAGACTAGAAAATATAATATTTTATTTTATTTTAGCAAATTTCCCTGAGTATATGTTCAAATTTTGGTATATAAATGACTTAAATATGTTGTTATTGTCAGCATATAGGGCTGACTCGCCCCCTAGTGGTTCTTGAACATGACTTCTTTGGTCTAGGTGACAATGTCCATTTCTTATATAAAATCTATGACGGAGGTGAGTTGTGAAGGAAGAAAAGATAAGAGCAGAGAGAGGGATATATAAACTGATTATAAGAGAATGACTTAGTTTTAAATGTAGGCGTATAGAAACAATCCCTCCATAGAATTCTCCCCTTTACTCTCATTATTGTAAAGTAGCTTAGTAAATAAACACATTAGTCCATAAAGACATATTAGTAAATATACACATATGCTCTGTTGGTGAGAAACTACTTCTTTCAATTGTGTATTCTTACCAAGTGAAATGGCAAATAAAGATCTTATATGTTTATTTTGTACAAAAACGTAACAAAAACCCCCTTCAGACTCATGACTAACCATGTTTACCATTCCTCACCTGTGTTGGAGGCAGCGTTGTTGTTGGGATGTAGAGATGATGCAGAGGATTCAGGACAGTAGTGCAGAGCCGTGACTTTATTCTGCTCGATGGAAGACATTTTATCTCGTCACAGCAGCTGGGCAGCAAGTTCTCCAGCGCCACAGGGTGGTTAGACATCAGCCTGTGTGGAAGCACAGCATGTGTAGGGATGAGTGTCAGTGTTACAGTATGACTCCATCAGTGCATGGTTTTTATACAACAACAAAAAAAAACATTTTCAGGTTGGTTTAAACATATCATATAAACATAAATGTATTAAAAGTTTAAGCACATCAGCCAAACAACAGTAATGGAATAAAAGTAGTGATAAAGTAAATATTAACTTAGCAGTGAATCCTGCTTGTACTGTGGCTAATGTTTTAGCACAGCATCACAAACACAAAGCACAGTCATTCGTTCAAATTGAAGCACAAACTGTAACCGAGGCGCGTTCTCCAGCTGCTGTTTCTGTTTATATACTGTGTTTATATATATATACATATACATATAAATATCATCTACCATGCTACCGTCCCTCTGTGAGACCCTGACCCTCTCCATCTCTGCAGACCCCTGCCACGCTTCCTCCCTTTGTACAGTAATGTAAAAAACTTTAATCAGACTGTGTGTGTATGTGTGCGCGCGCGCCTGTGTGTGTATTGTTTTGATTTGTGGAGTGGGGGCAACTGTGTGTTTGAGTACAGGAGGACGGGCTTTTTCATTTTATTTTTGAATTGTAATTTTTTTCCCCCTCTGGCATTGTAACATAGTAGTCGATGACAGTGTACTGTGTACTCTCTGTGTAGTGGATTAGCGCTAACTGCTGAGCCTGTGTGTAGTCACTTTAAATGTCAGTGTACCTCTAATCTATCAGAACTAGCCTACTCTGCTAACCATAGTCTGTCTTTTAAGAAAAAAAGTTTTTTGTACTAAAAGAGAAAGGAAAAATGATTTTAATTATCTTTGCTCACAGTATGGTACTGTTTGGTTTTGTTTTGGACCTTGTGTTCTTAGTAAGCATTGGGACGAAGCCAGATGATAATGAAATCATTGCCAAACACAATAAAAAGAAAACATTGGGACTGAAACTGGAACTACAAGAGAACAAGTCATTTCTAGTCTGAGCTCTGTATCGACAACACATTTACATCAGTATTCATGGCTGTAAATACATGTTGAAAAATACTTAGTTTGCATGGAAAGAAGTACATAAAATAAACTCAAAACTGAAATCACTCCCACAGTTTACATATACATATATATATATATTAAATGGATGTTGTTTCTTAGAAGCACTCTGTCATGGCTAAAGGGAAGCTCCAGAAAACACCTGGATGTTCCTTCTGTTAGCTTCACAAGTTGTTACATAAACCAGAAAGCTAATGGAAAAAAGGAGAGATTTACATTTACGTCTCCGGAAACATTTTCCTTGAGTGTGTTATAGGTGTTGAACATCCTGACCAAAAAAACCTGATTACGATAAACTTCTTCAAACACAGTTTGCTAACTTGTTAGAAATTTAGTAACAAAGACGGCTGAACGGCATTTCCTTAATTAATGCTAATTTTGCCTAGTAACAGGAAGCCTCTGATGTCGAAGTACATTAAATACATATAGGTCTGGAGCACTCTGAGCGGTGTATATAAGATTATTACAAAGTACAAGACCTTCTACGGCTCCCCACAAACTACAGAATTCTCTCCTCAATCTCAAACCTCACAGTACTGTCGATATAATCCAGAATATACATTGTGTACTTTCAAATAAATGATTCATCTATTCATTGTCAAAGTTTTTAGAGTTCTGGTGAAAATGTCCGAGCATCAGTGGACAAACATTGCTGTGTTGTTGCTTTGCCTTTGTGGAATGTTCTATGGGACAAGTAGAGATGACAGAGGACAGATCTTCTGGTACCTTCTATCATCTCTCTCTCTCTCTCTCTCTCTCTCTATCTATCTATCTAACCAGTCTGTTCTTCCAACAGTAGAACTCGCCAAACTCCATGGAAATGTCTTAGTCCTGTCAGCTGTGTATCGTAAAACTGTTGAATTACAAAAATGGTAAATAAATAAAATCTATTTTAAAGATCAGTAGGCTGTAGTCTCACTGTTGCATAACCTTAACCCCTGAGGCCTAATATATATATTTATATATAAACTTACATTTTGGAAAATCAATTATCACATGGTGTTTTAATTTAGTAGTAAATTTTAATTAATTTTTTAAAAAAATTTAGTAGCAAATTTTAATTAATTTTTAAAAAATATCTTTTTTGTTCTCATACTTTACATTGGGGCAACAATTTCTTTAGCACCATCTTGTGGAGGTACACAAAATTACTGCTGCAGCTCTTGCCCTTTTTTACTTTCTTCCATTTCTGATAATATTTAAGTTATTTATATGTATATATATATAGCAGTAATTGTGTAGCTCCACAAGATGGTGCTAAAGAAATTGTTGCCCCAATGTAAAGTATGAGAACAAAAAAGATTATAAAAAAAATAATTAAAATTTGCTACTAAATTAAAACACCATGTGATAATTGATTACACAGAAATATTTAAATTGATTTACTTTTCCTTTTGAGTGTAAATTCCCTTTTCCACATTACAAAGTTAATATTAATTGTAGCAACAAGCCCTTTCAATTCCTTTTTTCATTTTCTGTGGATAAAAGGTCATAACATACCATAAAACGCCAGCAGAGGGCAGCAGAGTCCCCGGTGCAGTAAAGTAGTACTTTACTATTTTAGGAGCATATAAATATGTCTTACATTCAAGCACAATACACATTGAATTATACGGTAGTACTTTATAGTAATTCTAAAACATTACATGTGGGATCTTCAACCCATTTCTGACCAAGAAGTTTTAAGACTAACAGAATCTCACCGTTCTGACTTGTTTAGGTTTTGACATAATCTTGCATTTTTATTTTTTCTAATATCTGAAAACTCAGAAGAAATATTTTTCACAATTCCTAAAAGAAAATAACCATCATTTACACATTGCATCGCATTAACTTGCATTTTTAGGCATTTTTGAGAATTTTAAATTTTTATTCAAGAAAGTAAGTTAAGGCATTTTTGAGAATTTTAAATTTTTACTCAAGAAAGTAAGTTAGTATGTTGCCTTTTCAATATTGAAAATTCAAAAAAAAAAAAAATTTCACAATCCTTTACAGAAAATATTATAGCATAGTTTACTTTTCTTTTAACCTTTTTTTAAAAACTCTGTGGTAAGAATGTCATCTATTTTTTAAAAATTCAGAAAAACTATTATTTAACATATTTTTTAAAAATTCAGAAAAACTATTTTCCACAACCAGACCTATTAGCCGATTATCAGATTTTAAATCTTTATTCAACCAAGCCCATCTAAGGCTGATTATAGCCCTACTAATTTGATTAAAATATGTAGCTTTGTCCTATTTAATAGTTATAATACAAAAAATATATACTATTTTGGGACATTAACCAATAAGAACATTAATATAGTATACTGTACTAATATTCTGAAAAGGTTTCTCAAAAACGAATAAAAATGCACTAATTTGTTCTAAAATACATAGCAATGCCATTTTTTTGGTTAAAATTCAGGTAAAAAATACACTTTTTCAGTACTTTTACATTTTAAGACTTTCAGAATCTTATTAGTATTAATACTATTCTGAAGGTCTTAAATTGTAAAAGTTTCTCAATGATGAATAAAAATGCACTCTTTTGCCTTAAAACACATTGCAATGACCTTTTTATGGTTGAAATCCAAGTCCAATATACACAATATATAGCTTTTATGCTTAAGTATTTCAGTTCTAGAGGCCCTTACTTTTATATCAAAAACTAATAAAACTTATTTGAAATGTTTATATATTTATTTGAAATAAGCCGATACGTTTTTTGAAAAATAAATAAATTTATGAGTCAAAACAGATTTGTTTACAGATTACTGTCAAGATGCATCTATTGGGAAAACTTCCCAGGAAGCCAAGTGAGAAACAACCGCTAACCTGTGTATATTAAAGTATGATATTTCATTATTAGAGCAACCAGCAGCATTTTTCTAGGACTTACACACGCACCAAAACAACACACACGGTGACAACGAGCGTGCCCGCGCTGTCGCCCGCGCACATACACATTCAACCATTTTTAACGTCTCAAAAACAAAACTATCTACTTACCGCTGAAGGCTGTTGACGAGCCTCAATGGTCTGTTAGCAAGGTCGGTGAATCATGTGGTGACCCAGGGGTTGTTCAGCGATAAGGCTTCTTTTCCAAAAAGGAGATATGGCCAGCAAAACAAACGCTGAAGTTAGCACTAGCAGCTAGCCACGCAGACGTAGTTCACCTCATTAAAGGTCCCAAAACCTTTCTTCTTTTTAGTACGTAGGTCCAGTTTCGGTGTCGGCCTGTCGTCTGAGTTCATCCGACGTTGCTGCAGTAGAAATTTGTAGTCAAAATATTTACTAAATACTCCATAATTTCGCTTGAGAATTTTGCTAGCCTTCCATGATATCAACAGTAACCAAACAAATTCTTCCGTTGCAATTCCGTGACGTCGAGTTGATTGGCGCGAAACCAACGAGTACGCGACTTCCGCTGATTCTGTGTTTTTTTTTTTTTAATATATGTATTTTTTTAAGAACTTCGTTGAAAGCATATCGTACACAGTATGCGAAGTAAAAAAAAAGGCAGAAATAGAGAAATAAAATTAACAAAAAGAGGGTCTAGTGTGTTCAGAATAGCCTCACCTGATTGGTTGATCAAGGGAAGTCACCCCAGTTTGGCCTCATCACTGACGTCAGAGTGTAGTTCGATGTTTTCAGCCTCACAATGTTCACAGGAGCGTCGTTTTGCACATTATAAACGGAAGAGAGAAGGAGGCAGAGACACAGCAGAGGAGGGTTATGTTATGTAAACTATTAAGAGCATTAAATGACGGTTATATTCTGTAAAAAGTAATGAAGCCTGGCTTCCTCAGGTCTCCACAAGAGGACGCCACTGGTTAGGCATTTTTTAGACTTTTTTTTCCAGTGTACAGTTTAGAACGTTAATTTATCGTCAATTTGTGCGTCATGATTTTTTTTTTATGTTAAACTTACCAAAAAGCATAAAAAAGGTTAATCAAATACATCCAAAGTTATATGTAATTTAATTTAGAATATTCTTAGAAAGGGACTTCTTTTAACATTAATCTTATTTGTTTTTTAACCAACTGTGATGCTGTTTCCCTTTTTTTCATTCAAACCACGTGAATAAATGTGTTAAGCAAACTAATTTATAAAAGCATTAAAATATGCAATAAATAAATATATTTGAAAAAATATAGAAAAAAGTAGTGGCGCTTTGGCCCAGAGGCAATGTCTCTGTCATTGGTGTGGAACCCCAGGGTTCACCTCCTGGACAAGTTCGAATCCCGGTTAGGGCGGTTAATACCTTCCAGTGGACTCACCACCCGCAGGAAGGTTTGGGGGGTTAGTACGGTGCAATGTGATTTGGGTGGCGACTGCTGCCCCCGCGACCCGGTAACGGATAAGCGGATGAAAATGGATGGATGGATAGAAAAAGTAGCTTTTAAAGGTCCAAACAGAACAGTTGATTAGGCTTTAGAAATGCCTGCAGCAGCTGGCACTGGTAAAAAATAATGAAAAAAACAAATAAAACAAAACATATAATTAAATGATTTACTACTTAGGTTTTCTTTTCACCAGGAGACACGGTAAATTAACTTGACAAAGTAATCTAACCTCGTTTTTATGCTTTTAATGTCTATATATTTTTTCAAATTTTCCTTCATGGCCTTCAGGAATATTTTACAAGAACAGCACATGAAATCATGGTTCACATAAAAACTGAAGTCACACTATATAACTAAATAAATAATAATACGCCCCAAGAGTAAATTACCTGCAGCTGCAGAGGAGTAAATCATTTCTGCAAACCATTAAAATATATAAAAATAAAAGAGTGAATTTGTCTTTGGAGATGAACAGAGTGGACTGATGTGAAATTCGACCTCCAGGCTACATGTGAGAAATGAGAATCAGTCTTTGCCACAAAAGGCCAGCGCTACTTTACCCTGGTCAGGTCCACATGAATGGTCTGAGGTATCGGTCAGAGTCTTTAGCCTTTATGCTGCTGCTGCTGCTGCTGCTTCTACTGCTGTCATTTTCTCAGTGACTGATTTGGATCAGTGGATGCTGAGAATTTGTCTTGACTGCAGAAGGTTGGGAAACGGACCGTTCATCACCTTAATGGAAGAGTATTGATTGTGGTGCAGGAGCAGGGCATCTGTCTGCAATAGTAATGAAGAGGCAGAGAAATCAGTGATGAAAGTCATGAGGGGTGAGAGGGGAACAGTCCTGGGAAAGAGAGACACCTGTGCTCCCACTGTTAGCACATGTTTAATCATTTCACTGCCGCGGTCATCGTAGATGGGGTTTGTTGGGAAACAACAAATTAATGTCAGTGTTCAAAGATTTAAACATTCATCATCAACCTCCTCAACCTTTCTTGGGTCACAGGTGGAGCTTGAACATGTCCATCACAGTGCTTGCATCAAAAAAGGCAGCATGCTAATTTAGGATTTGACCAAATAAATAATAATAAAAAAGAAGACTAAATGCTCTAATTTGATGATAAACAGAGAAAATGTCTACAGAAAAGACATTTTTGAAAAATTATTTGGCAAATTTAATTATAAAAATGATTTTCATCATAACTTTTTCAACATCTGAACAAAAAAAACATGCTAAATCTGGAAATTGAAAGAAAAAATTCAAAAAAAACATGCTAAATCCGGAAATTGAAAAAAATATATTAAGATTCTCAAAGAGTTCTAATTTGGTGAAGAACATGCAGAAAGGATAAAATTTTGAATGAAAATCTTTAGAAAATATTTATCACAGTTTTTCACAATCTGACCAGAAATGACATACTAAAAATTTCTCAAAATGCTCTTGCATTTCTGGGACTTTTTAGTGCAGCCTTCACACGGACTCTTTAAAATGTCCATCTACTCTAGTAATTTTACCATAATTTGAAACAACCTGTTACCAAACACAAAAGGCTCAACAAAGTGCTC